GAACCCGGTCTGGCTATGGTCAACTCATCAGGGGTAAATGAGAACCGGCATAGTCAGGGTGGGTTCGCCATATCCGTACACAGATATCTAGAAGATTCTGTATATGTCGCAGATACCCCTCAATATAGATATTCAGCGTCGACTGTTGTACCGGATTGTCTCACATACCAGGATTCACGGTTCTACTGGTGATCCTTCACTAGTAGAGGACCGTATACGACGATGCCTTTCTTTTCATTCAAGGTCGAACAACGTTCAGCTTCCAAATGCCTTCCAGCAAAACGCCACGCTTAACAAATATAAACAGTTGTCATGATGAAACGCCCGAGTCTCACCGGAAACCAGTCACATGCCACCATAATCACCACCACCAGCCTGGCCCTTTTCAGCCCAATTAGGATCCGAAGCAGCAGAACCCCTTCCTTCCGTGCCACTTGTGCTTGGCCACGCATCAATCACATTGTCCATCCCATTCCCATATCCAACAGCTCCATCCCCTTCACCCGCAACAGGATACACCCCCAGCCCCAACCCACCCGTCCTCCGCCGTTGTCGTTGCAGCACCTCACCACCACCAGCCGTCATCCCTTTACCTTTACCTTTCCCTTTCCCATCACCGGTTTCCTCTCCCCCCAAAAGTACCCTATCCCCCTCCCCCACCACTACCCGTCCATTAACTCTAAACATCTTCGCATTGGCATTACTCAACGCCAACAATCCCGCCGTAGCCAGCAACAAGACCATCATGATCATCGCCCCGACCTGCGTCATGTTTCCTGAAAAAGCAGCGACCATGTACACCAGAACCTTTGCCGTCGCCTCGAGGTAGCCCTCCGCATGGGTCTTGGCGCGTAGCCAGGCGGTGGCGGTTATAGCGTAGAGGTCTTCTGAGAGCCCTCGGAGGCGGATGGAGCAGGTGGAGGGGTGGCTGGGAGAGTCGGAGCCGAGAGAAATGAGGAGGGAGGTTATGGGGTTGGGTTCGTGGTGGTCTGAGCCTGAGGATGGAGAGGGGTGGAAAGGGTGGAAGGGAAACGGGGGAGAAGAAATGGGACGGGATTTGGAGCGCTGTTTGATAATGTAGATGTTGAGGATGCGGGAGACCATTAGAGCTAAAAGAGAGGCCAGGGTCCACCCTGTTTACTTGTAAGTTCAGGCCGTTGGATTGTAAGTCAAAGGGGGAGGGAAAATGTGGAAAAAAAAAAAAAAAAAAAAAAAAAAAAATTTAAAATTAAAAGAAAAAGTGTACTCACAATCCTGGAACAAAATAACCAGCACGATAGCAATTATCGTCAATAGCGGACTGATTAGATATAAAACATGCGACAACCAGCCCAGATCAGGCAAGTCATCCTCCGCCCAAATCGTGGCATGCAAGCCGCTCTCCGACCTCCGGATGCGTAACCGCTGTCTGATAGCCTGAATAGTACCAACGTCCAAAGTGACCGTTTGTCCTGGGCGAGCAATCTTTTGAAGGTACAATAACGTGGCAGCATTGTTGATGCGGAAGGTCGTCGGCGCCAAACTCCTAGTTTCTTCGCTGCCGTTTCCTCTGGTTGTACTAGCCCCGGGCTCCGCCCCAACCCCGGCATCGACAATGGCGGTAGCGCTGGATGCGGACCACTTGGCGAGTTCATCGGCAGCTTGCTGGTAGTGTAGACCCGGAGCAAGGAGCAGGCTGTCGAGCCAGCTGGAGCCGCCGGTGATGGCGGTGCGCTGGGCAACAGTGCTGAGGTCGGCGAGAGCTAGGAGACCGCCGGCGGAGAGCGATACGCCAGGGATGGGGTGGGTGGTCCACTGTGGGAAGGAAACCATGGTCGTGTACGGATCCGGAGATGCTGAGGTTTGGATCGGGGATCCCGGCTTCTGATCGTTTACTCCACCAAACTTGTCTCCGCTGTTGGTTTTAGGGCTGAAGGTTGTCGTTGTTGTGGTCGTAGGGTTTGAACCCAAAACAGCTGAATCTCAATTCGACGAGAGAGGCTCCAGAACGACTCAGACAATATGAGCTTTTCGTTCCCTTAGACTAGGCTCCCGAGTGACTTGGAACTGAGCAGTCACTCCATCACTCGAAGGAAGCCGCGACGGGAGACACCCGCCTTTACGACTGTGATAAAATTGCTGTACGCAGGGAAATAAGCGACATAAAACAATAGATACCGCCGCGATTGTTATACTTCATCGTACATGACAGCGCGAGCCCATGACGCCAGACTGCCTAGCAAGCCCTGCCAAGGCAGCCTATAATCTGATGATATCTTGGAGGCTTCGTTGGATGTTGTCTCCCTCTCTGGTTCTAGCTGAATGCCCGCCCTTGTTTCTTGGGCATGACCCCACATGATAGCATAGATGGCTTCTAGTGTAACGGTATGAGCACCCGTGGGCGTTTTCTTCATAAGTCCGAGATGAAGGTTGTAGATCGCGAAGCTCACATTGTCAGCGAGTCTTGTGATGAAGCGAACCATCCACACCCTCTTGCAAGTTGACCGAAAAGAAAGAAAGAAAGATGGAGCCGATCCGACTAGAGTGGAACCCGAGATCACGGTGGGCCCAAGCTCCAAGTGAAGCTGCGCTGCCTGCTTGACGACATCATTCGTCCAGCACCTGTGTACCATGCGGGGGAGGCCCCACTGAACAACTGAAGGGGCCGGGGATCGCAGGCTCGCTCAGGAAACGACCAACGACGGAATGAACATTTTGAGAGGGAATTGTCACTCTGCATTTTGGTCTCGAAACAAAATAGTAAAAAAGAATAAAAAAAAAAGGTTCTGAGCAAAGTCGATTGACGGCATTGTAGCAGTGCCAGACCACGCCAATATAGGCAACATGCACTGATGTGAACAGACCACGAGATTTTACATCAGGACACCTCAATTGTTGCACTTGAGGTTGCAACTTCTGAACCTCCTTCTCCGCCTCTCTTCCTGAGCTCTCGAGCTTTCGTCTCGCAATGCGCCCGCGACTCCTTCTCCCTCGCGGGCACTTGGCCCGGCCATGCTCCCCGGCGATACACTCGACGACCACCCGATTCTTTACACAGAGCGCATCACTTCGCGTGGGAGTTCAAACAAGACCCCAACTCGGCTTCCTCAATGTGCCCGTGACCACTCAACAATATCGCTACCTGACGACCGAGCGCAAGGCGCGACTCAAATACGACATCAAGCAGGGAATAAAGATCACCTCATACTTCTGGATGGCTGGCGCTTGTTGCTTCGCCATAGCATTCGCCCTTGTCCAGGAAACTCTCGAAGCCCGATATCCATCACCACACGAATGGAGCATGCTTAGTCGGATTTTCTTCCGCGGAGCCTTCTGCGAGCGAGACCAGACCGACCCGTCCCGCACAACCGACTGGGTTCATGTGACGAATTGGATCAAGAGCGTGGTAGACCGGTTGGAGGATCCCAACATTGACGGCAAGGGACTGAAGGATGCGCCGTCCGACAGGCCAAAAGGCACCAAGGACATCAGCTCCATGTCTGAGAACTGGAGACGGGGCTACTACGAAGCCATGATGTTGTACGCAAAGGCCGCAGAGAACGTCGAGAAGTGGGTAACCGACAAAACCCAAAACCTCACCATCCCGAACGACTACGTGATCGGTCCCTCCAACCCCAACCCGCGCCCCCTCCCCAACGAGAACTACCGACCGCCCAAAGAGGACGACTGCGTGCCGACCTTCGAGTCGCCCAACGAGATCTACATGCGTATCCTCTGCACCGAAGGTCTTACCAACCGACAGCGCATGGAAGCCGGTCTCGCCTACGCCACCTGGCTTGAATTCAAGCAGATCACGGGACCCGCCAACATCATCCTCGAAGACGCCGTCCACCTCGCCGCTAGCGAGCAAGCTCTCCTCACCGGCGGCCGTTACCCCCTGGACACCAAAAGTTACACCCTCATCGACGCCGCCGGCCACCATCCCTCGTCCAACCTCCTGCAATCCCTTACTGCGCTCGCCACTTTCCGCGCCCGCAACGGCGACGTCTCCTCCGCGCTTCCCATGCTCGTCTCCATCCTCCAAGCGCGCAAGGCTCTTCCGGCTTCCGACCCGCGCCGCATCCCACCCCTTCCACAAAAGAAACAAACCTGGGCCGGCGCCGTTCTAGCCCTCCTCAAGGAACCTCCTTACCCCGACCCGCCTGAGGACGGCACCCTCCCCCCTTTGCGCGATGCCAAGGAACGATGTGAGGAGGCCGCGCTGAGTCTGCATATCGGGGAGATCATGTACACTGCCAAGCCTACCACCACCAACAACAACACTTCGGCCACAACTGCTCATTCCCACCGCGAAGAAGGCCTAGGCTGGACTCGCGAAGCAGTCGACATCGCCGAAGAACAACTCCGCGGTCTAAGCAACAAACAGTCTGCCATGGCCGCCAGACTAACATGCCGCGAGTGTCTGGCTGCAGGTTTAGAGAACTGGACGATGATGGTTTCGAGGCTGGCGAGAGACGAGAAAGCTAAGAAAGAGGAGCTGGAAAGGAATCCGGACCTCGACAAGCAAACCAAAACGAGTTGGTGGAGCTTCTGGGGACAGGGAGAACACAAGCAGGAGGATTTGAATAGGTGGGCGGCGGAGGAGAAGGTTATTGCCGAGAGACAGAGGAGGGCGGCGGATTTGTTGGAGGAGTTGCCAACGGGGAATAGGGGGTTTTTGTCATTTTTGCAGGCCTAGATCCCTGGATGGCTGGGAAGGATGTGGTGGATTTGGGATGGATGGATTTTGGGGTGGCCTCGAAGCAGCCTCCCACTCGGTTCACCAGCTTGTTGATCAGTGAGTGTGACCGGGACTGTATCTTGAAATGCATTAGTGAAAAGGAGCACAGGACAAATGGGCACAGAGCAGCTACTCTCTTGTTGGTGTTGTAGTATGTATGATTGTATGTTCGGTAGTTTGCTTCAAGCATTGTACGTATAACGGAAGCTTAGTACTATGAGGGCAAGGCAGGATACAGCACTCCTTGCCCAAATTCACGATTGTTGGATAAACTCATCGCAAGGAGATTATGTGAATTCGGCTATCTATCGATTCGAAACTCCTGAAAATTAGGCTACCTCTGAGTAATTGGTAGATGGTCTTGATTCAGCCACTGCCCTGTGGTGCCAGAAATAATGTAATGCCTTGAGAGGACCATGATCACGTTTCCCCTTTTAAATGGGTGTAGCAACCCCGTCCCACTCATCGTTGTAGTCAGGAAGATAGTACTCGACTCCTTGACTGATCTTCCTGCGAGGAACCACCAGCCTTGGGTTTCCAGAAGGTCACGGTGTCTTAGGTCTCCTCCTCTGAGTCAGCATTGCCATCCGCCATCTTTTCTCTCTTGGCAATCTCCTTGACTAACTCCTCGTCGATACCCTCGCATTCATCCATCTTGGCAGGCTGGGCATCTCTCTGGACTCTGACTTGGATCCTCTTGGTCTCTTCATGGTCTTGTTCCTTGATTTTCTTGGACCCCTTAGACTCATCGTCGTCGTCCTTATCCCATTCTGGCCATTTACCGTCATCCTCCTCTTCCTCCGGGAAGAAGATGTGAACTCTCTCATTGACGTAATCCTTGTCCAGAGCGACCTCCTGTAGCCACTTCAAGACCGCTGAACCGGCCTCGACGAGCACAAGCTCCATGATGAAGGCGTTCGGGCCGACACTGTAGGTAGGGCAACCGTAGCCGACATAGCCGGTGACGGCGCGGCTGCCGCCCTCGGGGCCAGCAATAAGGGTGTCAAGGGGGTCCTGATTCATTATGTAGGCGCGCCCACGCTGTGTGGAAGAGTGTTTGTTAGCTGGGTCATTGATACTGGATCAAAGGCCTAGTTAGAAGGAAAAGGCGCAACATACCTGATCCATGAACTTCTTAAAGCCCTGACAGTTTGCCTTGCGCATATCATAAAAGCCACCCAGCACCACAAGAGCGTTCAGCCTGTATCCGATCTTCGCCCAAACATCGTCATTGTCGAGATACTGCTCCACCTCGTCCGACATGTCACCAAGCGCGATGACATCGATCTTGGCCTTGTCGTTGACGAACTGCGGCACCACCTTCTCAAAGATATACTTGAGATGCTCCGTCGGATTGGCATTCTCCGAAATGCTGTTCCTCGCTGGATCATGGTGCCAGCCCCAGTGAACCAGACTGCTACCCGGAATCTGATGACGAGCAAATATACTCAGCCCTTTCTTCCCTTCAGGCCACCACCAGAGGTCACCGGGGTTGGCGAGAATGATACCAGGGGCAGTGTTGTCGGTGGCGGAAGACTTCTGCTGCTTGAGAGTCTTGACTATGTTCACCATCGAGCCCTTGTTGAGACCACCCGGTCCGCTAGCGACACGGTGCGCCAGAATGCCAAAGTCCTGGCTAGACTGGCCGAAGATGATCACGACGCGTGACTTGCTAGAGAGATCCTCGCTGAGACGGATTTTGACGTGAGGTTCATCTTTGCTGGCAACCCCGAGCGGGAGGAGGACTTCCTTGAGACCCTCGGCTTCGAGCCGTGAGTCGATGATTTGATTGACTGCCTCTGTTGGATTGCAACATTTGGGTCAGTATCAGCTCGAATAATTGTCAGAAATGGGGAGTTCGTTACTTACGGTCGAATGCGAAGCGCTGGCAGTCGTTGTACCTCGTGTTCTTGGTCGAAAAATACTTGAAGTAGAAGTCGGGGTCATGCACGTAGCGAACTTCATCTTCCTCGTTGATGAAATAACTATACGCACAAGATATATCAGAGTGAGCGTCGTTGGGAGGATGACTTGGCAGATTATCACGAACCTGAGCTCCTTGAGATCTGGGGCGAACTTTGGTTCAGCCGGAAGGCCTGACCAACGGCGACGAAACATCTTGTATGTTGGAAAGTCGTTAAGTTTCCTGGATGTGTTGTTGTGGAGGAGTCAAAGACGGTTGCAAGCGAGAGGAAGGATAGCTTAGAACGCTGATCGCGTCGAGGAGTATTTGAACACTTCGTTGCTTGGAGAATCGCGAAGAAACTCGAAGGCCACGGAAGCGGTTGAAGATGGGACGGAAGGAGCCCAGCAGTTGTTCTTCCCTTCTCTGGCACAGAACGAGATAGGCGGAGGCGGAGTACGGGAGGGGATGATACTAACGAGTGAACAGGAGAAGGTAAACAGACAACGAACGAGACACTCGACCCCTTCTCTTCAGATGAATGGCCAAACCGTAATGACATTGCAACCGTCAAGGTGTTGACATACTGTAGAGCATCTTGCCCATCTCATTCAGACCTTCCTCATCCCATTATGTAGAGATAACCTGCTTGACAAACATGTTCACTGGTAAACAACCGAACCCAAACCGAAAGCAGCTTCAGCATGCGGGTGTTTCCTTTGGCAAGCTCAAGGTTGCTGTAAATGAGAGCAACCGTCCGTAGACTACTGATTAATTGAATACCGCCAAACACCGGCGATCATCAAAGGCATTGGTGAAGGGGGTCGTCGAACGTACGAAAGTGTTGGTGGATGTGGTTGTCACATGCGAACGGCAGGCATCAACTTTTGCAACCCGTGAACAACGTATTCGGTAAGGTACGGGTGAACTTAACACTCGTTTCGCACACGACAACTACATCTCCCTTTGGTAGGTGGAATAATGATTCCAAAGGCACCACTCAGTCAACCATCCAGAACAATCCTTCTTCCTCACACCCCCAGCCTGTAGCCAGAGATTGCAACGAAAAAGTAAAGATGAGCACAAAGCAAGTAGTAGTGTTGAGTTCGCGTCGCCTGGAGGCAGTGTAATACCAGGGACACAGTGGTCGGTAACCATAGGCAAGCCCAGAGGGATACCGACCGAGTTGCAAAAATTAGAATAATCACGATTCTACTCCGTAGAGCAGTTTCAGAGATTAAACTGAAAAGAACAGATACTACACTTGATCTAAGCCAAAAGGCAAAGAGAGCTAAAGAAAAAAAAGAGAAAAAAAACCAGGTAAAAACTTGGGAGGGGAGGCCAGACTTAAATAGGCTGAGATGTGGCCTGTGCACGAGCTGCAAGCTTGAGAGTTTGAGTGGAGCCCCGTAGGAAAAGTGCCGTTCAGCTGGTGTGCGACTGGCACACCTGGCAAAGTGTTTGTTGCTGCTTGGTTTGGCGCTTGCAACCTGCGACAAAAATGACACCGCCCGGCAGAATTTGCCGTTCCGCGCGCGGCAGGGCTGGACAGCAAGCGCACAGGCCACTGACCGCCGTGGGAGCCGGGGAGAGTGACTGCGGCTAGCGGGCGACGACGCCGGAGGGAAGCAACGACTGCAGTACCTGTGATATCGCTTTACGCGCCTCGATCCGCCGTTCTTGACGCCCACCTCCGACCAGCCCGCCAGTCTACCCCGGAACATCAAACCGCCAAAATGTCCATGTTTCGTGCCAAGAAGCTCGACCTCGGGTGCTTCACCAACGTCCGGGTCCTTCGTGACCACTCCAAGCGCAAGGCCTTTTTGGAGGCCGAGCCTGAGAGGTACCTACCTGCGCCTTGCGATCCTTATTTGCGACTATGACAAGAACATACGATCTAACGACTTCTTACTTTTTAATACAGACAAGCCCTGCGCTACGTTATCCGCAACACCACCCTCCCTGCCCGTACCAGGGCCGTCGCCCAGCTCCAGCTCACCCAGATGCATGCCTACACCAGGCCGACGCAGATCCGGAACCGCTGCATCCTTGGTGGAAAGAGTCGAGGTATCTTGAGGGACTTCAAGATGACAAGAGTACGTCGCTATCGGTTGCTTCGAAGGAGGAGTGGTGTGCTAAGAGCTGAGCTCCGCATGGGAATGATGAAAACCTGCAAAGGCGCGCGACTTGCTAACACCGTTGGATCGCAAACAGTACAATTTCCGGATGAATGCCCTGATGGGTAACATTCCGGGTGTCAAGAAGGCCTCTTGGTAAAAGAGAGCATGGCTACAAGGAACCCAGAGGTTTGTTGTGGTTTGGAGATGGTGTCGGTACGCCCAGAGGCGAATAAACTCTTTTCAAAACCCAGATGGGCTCGGGTCATCGTGTTGGTAAGAAAGCATCACTGTACGCAGGGTTTTTGAGATACCCGTATAAGTAAGTGATCGCACGATGAGGAGTGCTTCAAAAGCTTTTTAGTGGGCAGAGGGAGGTTGTATGATGCATCCTTTTGGACATGGGAATCTCTCTCCCGATGCCCGCTGTGTAGAATTGTTGTTACAATATTATATTCAGACACGGCAAATGAATGAATGTCTTTTTCAAAGTAACCGAAAGAACGAATCTCCCCTAACGCCAAACCGCATGCAACCCCCAAGGTGCCTAATAACCGATCCGTCATCCGTCTGTTATTTTGCCCGCCACAGGATAGCTGTGAAAGCCTAGATCCCGATTATAAATGTTGAAACACGCTCCGCAAACCACATCTAACATAAGCTGCCTCAAGAGGACTGGATGCTAGTCGCCTCCTCGGCGGCAACCGCCTGACCAAGAGCCTCAGAGACAGCCTTCTCGCCGGAGCGCTTTCTCAAGACGTTCTCGATGAAAGCCTCGCCGGCTTTGTATGAAGAACGGACCAGAGGACCACTAGCGCAGTACAGGAAGCCCATGTCAAGGGCACGCTGCCTCCAGAGCTCGAACTCGTCGGGAGTGATGTACTTCTCGACCGCGAGATGTCTCTTGGTTGGGCGCATGTACTGTCCAAAGGTAACGACATCGACGTCGACCTTCCTCAATTCTACAAAGCAACATCATGGTCAGCATCCATCAAATGGGCAAGCGCAATTGATATGACTTACCCCTCAAAGCCTCCCAGAGCTCCTCCTCAGTCTCCCCCAGACCAAGCATGATGCTGGTCTTGGTGATAATGCCTTCCTTACCCCGGACCTTCTTAACGTGTTCCAACACCTTCAAACTCTGGCGGAATGTGGCACGGCGATCACGCACGTAAGGCGTCAAGTTCTCAACAGTCTCAACGTTATGCGCATACACATCCAGTCCGCTCTCCGCCACAATCTTGACCATGTCCAAGTCACCAGCAAAGTCACCGGTCAAGGCCTCGACAAGCAGGGTCGGCTTCTTTTGCTTGATCCGGCGGATCGTCTCTGCAAAGTGCCGGGCACCACCATCGGCCAGATCGTCACGGTCGACACTCGTCAGCACAACATAGCCGAGACCCCAGCGGGCCAGAGCCTCAGCGGTGTTTTCGGGCTCGTGAGGATCCAGCGGAGGCGGCTTGCGGCTTGTCTTGACGCTGCAGAAGCGGCAGCCACGGGTGCAGGTGTCGCCCATGAGCATGATGGTGGCCGTCGCGGCGGCCTTGTTAGAGCCGCCCCAGCATTCGCCGATGTTGGGACACCTAGCCTCCTCGCATACTGTGTGAAGATTGAGACCGCGCAGGTCGGCCTTGATCTTGGCAAATTCGGGGTTCGCGCCAGCACTCGGGATAGGTGTCTTGAGCCATTCAGGCAAGCGGGTGATGGTACGCTTCTTGCCGGCGGGTCCGACTTCGGCTGTGCGCAGGGTGTAAGCTTCGCTGGGTGCGAGAGGAGCGGCTGACGATTGGCTTGCGATAAAGTCGTCGAGGGAAGCGAGAGTGGTGTCCTTAAAGTAGGTCGGGCGCGGCTTGGTTGCGGGCGCGGACGCGGATGTAGCTGATGATGACTCTTGCGATGTCGGCTGGCTGGATGGGCCAGATGGGATGGTGGCGTATGACCGAGTCGACAGGGCGGCGGCACGCGCAAGAGACCTCCGCAAAGGCGCCTGGAGACGCTGGATCGGGACCGGTGAAGCCATGATGTGTGATAAATTTTGGTGTTGAGCTTGCCGGAACCCTACCAGTCGTGAACTGCTGCAAACAAGCCGGGGGATCTTGGGTGGCGGATGCGGATGATATGGATGACTACCGTTGGGGGAGCATGGGATGGAGACAAAAAGTTCGGCCCCCGGTACGCCGGCGCTTTGGAGCCTTTGATAAATTTTAGTGGCCCACGCCGCCCATGCCCGGTTACGTAACGCCGATCATACCCGCCAGCTGCCGGGGCGCATTAGAGGCAGCTCTTGAACCGGCAAGACCGGGACCCCCATTCCTTGTGCTGGCGGCGATGACTCCATTTTGCGAACCCTTTTGGAGTCCAGCAGTTCAACCCATGTTGTTGCGCGTGGGAGCCTGGAAGCAGCCGACTGACTGACTTGCAGACAATCCTACCCGATTTGTTTCAACATTTTGCTACACCAAAGGTGGAACAGGGTGTTAGTGGCGAGGGTCCTGGAAAGGCATGAGCTTATATCTTTTTGTCCATTTCCATATATGTAAATCCCGTCGAATATGCATCTGCTGGTTGACGGGCGGCATTCGCTTCGGTCAACAGCCCCTCCGGGCCATTCAGGTGGACCGGGGACCAGAGAGAAAGATGCCGTAACATCCGCATACCGTGGATGCTTTTGCCGGTGAAGTCGGGCATCTTCGACGGTTGAGTATGAGGGACCAGGTACGAGATATGTAGTGGTATTGTGAAGAATGTATAATGTAGATGGGCGATGAAACGAAGCTGCAACACAACCGACCCGACACAGGAGAACATTCCGTGCCAATGCGGTTAAGTGTAAGCTCTACGCAGTCGGTGAAGTGTCGTAGTCAGGAGTACTCAGGGGAAAGACTAGTCTCAGTCGCTCAGCCACCTCCGATAGCCTATACGTCTCTTCGGACCCACAGGGCCAAATGGTTGTGACATCCGGCCCACCACCCTCACCCACCCACCAATCCGGACATCACACCATTTAGCCCTATAAGTCTAAAACAATACAGCTATACTCCGGTCTAAGCCTAATATAAACGAAATAGTTCATTATACGCAAACCTCCAAATTTCCCCAAATTTCCCCAAATATTATAGTCCTAAAACGAACAATACGCGCACCAAATCATACCCAACACCAATACACTCATTAACACTATTTTTTCCTACCCTTCCTAATCTTAATAATATACTTATATCCTACCAACTATATTTAATAGTCTAACTAATATCTACTCTTTCGTCTCCTCTACCTTCGTCCCAATTATAAAATTCCTACTATCTAGAGGAATTATATAATAAATTATTTAATAAGGCTCCTTCTTAATATTTACTAGAACTCTTTAATTAACCTACGGACAAAATCTATTCTAGAAATACATTTACTATAAATATATCTATAGTAAATATTAATATTAATACGGAAATTAAAAATATTTAACATTTACTTAATAGTATCTATTAATATATTAAAGTCAACTATCGAATAAATCTATTATATTACCTTATTTATTTATATATTTACTAAAGGACAAATACTTTCTAATAATATAATAAATATTTAAAAACGTTTATTAATGTACTTCGATACTTTAAAGTATATAAAGTCCTTATAAATGCCAGCGTTTATATATACTTCAAAAAGGATAAAACCAAATACCAACCAAAAAGGGAGGAAATCTAACCTAAATTGAACGAATACCCAACCTAACCCCCAATCAAACATACACCTCAAATATATTTTAATAAAACCCTCTATATAGAATTCAAATCTCTCTTAAATAAATTAATATTCTATATTTTTCCTACTAATAAATTTATTAAAATTAGTAATATAGCCTACCCTACTACTATTAAGGACGTATTTAATATTTTGTAAATCCGTTCTCGCCTTCGTTCTACCTATAATACTATATCCGAAATTGCGCCAAAATTAATAGAATTACTTACTATATTATATATATAATAACGTACCTATTAAGACTTATATGAATTGAAGGATAGTATTTAGAAAAAAAGAAAAATCTATAATTATATAATTATAATAGTATCTATTATTATAAATTTATACACACTTCAAAATAGTATATTTATCCTAAAACTATTTAATATCTACTTTAAGAATAGTTTTATACAATTGTACGTATATAATACTTTAGTTCGGTTCAGTATAATTTCTTCTTATAAAATTACTTTATAAACTATTAACCGCCTTATTAATATTTCTATAATATATAACTCAATACCTAAATCCTATAAGGGGACTTTAAAAGTCCCCCTATAGGATTTAAATATTTATACTCTTATTACTATTTTATATACTTATATAATTGTAAATAAATTTTAAACTAGTTAATTATAATTCGAATATAATTATTATCTATAATAATTTTAATTTTATTAACTATATATAAAGTTTTAGAATTAGCCGGAAGGACGTAATATAAAACCTTACTACTTATTTCCTTATTAGTAATTCCAATATTAATAGGCCGTTCAAACCATCCTAATAGCGCCCCTATATTAAATTCCAATTAGAATAGCTTTTTACATACTTAAACGTAACGCTACTATCCCTTAATAACGCGGCCCGCTATTTTATTAAAAATTGATTAGCCTCTATAATTAGACGGAAATTATAATAATTTATTCTTCATTTCCCGGTTATTAAACAATTAAAAACCGCCGAAAATTATATTTTACAAACCCTTACTATTATAAAGAATAAGGGTAAAATCTCCAATATTTATCGATTTTACAATAAACTCTTCTTTAATATTCTCGGATTTAATATAAATAATTTTAAGGACTAATTTATCCTCATCTATAACAATTAAAAAATAATATCCTTTATTTACTATATCGTTCTCAACTAATTCGAGGTAAACTACGTATATAATTATAAATAATAGATCCTTACCGTACTTACATTCTTTTATATCCTTATAAACTATATTAATATAATATTTCGGGTTTTCTAACCTCTTGTAATATAAGATATATAAGGCTTTAGAAGAAATAAGAAGGTAAAATAATACAATACTATATTCTATAACGGTTGGTCTCTATTAGAAAATATATTCGCCTTTAGGATTTTAACCTTTCTTATTATTAGGTTCGTCGATTATAACCTTATTTTAGAATCCGACCTTACTAAAATATTCGTATACTAAACTATATTAAATATTAGAGAAAAATTTATTAATCGGGAACTTCTTTCTATTTATAACAAAATCTTTTCCCTATTTACCTAATCTAGGTATAAAATATCTTTAGGTATAATAAATATAGGCTATTATAATATTTATTATTATTTCTAAATTATTCGTATTTTTCTTATATTCGATAAAACTATCTCCTTAGGAAATTATAATATCCTCCAACAAATAATAAATCTTCTTCCTATCCTATTTTATAGTAGTAAATTGAGTAACTATAGGCCTAAAATACTCTATTTAATATAATTACTTCGCCCTAAGGTTATAAACGAACCGCTCGCTAATATTATCTTACATTCTAATATAATATAATATTCTACAACTAATAATTAATGGAAGGTAATTAATATAGCTTTTAAATATATTAATACTTCCTTTACTCTTAATATTAAATAGAATAAGAATTCGATTTATAATACAAGGATTCTATTTATCTATCTTTCTACTATTAGCCCTTATACTGCAGCTATTTATAAAGTTATTAAAAATAATATACGAACGTATTAGGCAAGTAAATATATAAAGCCATCTACTAATAAAAATATTATTAATTATATTTGTACGGTCTATCGGAATAGGTAAATACGTCGGGGATATATAACTTTTCGACCACCCGATTACTCGGGATTTAATGCCCCTAATATCCTATAATTTAATTTTACTATATTACTAGAATCAAAGTTTAATATATTTAATATAAAGGAGGTCCGACTATTATAAATAAATAAATAAATTATAATCCGGGACCCCGAAAGGAATATTCGGTAAATAGAGAGGGATATAGAAAAAATAGCTATTAGTAATAATAAAAGTAAATAGATATATTTTAGTAATAAGGTTGAATTTAATAATAAAATAGTGTAATATATTTCTAATAAAATATTAAATACTTATATAAATTAGAGCCGAATTAATTTAGAACGCTCTATCTACTTATTAATTCTATATAATTTTTATATTTCTATAGAACCGATTCCAAAACTATACAATATAATAAAATTTATATAGGGTTTAGTATAGGAATACTAATGCACTTATAGTTAATAGAATATATCAATTTAATATACTTAAATTTAATAGAGGGAATTAACTAACTCTTCCCCTATTAAATTTATATAAATAATATACCCGTATCCTACATTAGAATTCTATTTATACTAATTTAATATACGTAAATCTAATAAAGGGTTAACTAACTATCCCTCCGTCGGATTTACATAGACCCTAATATAAATAAAAATATAGACCCCCTTCTCAATAAAACTATAATATTAGTAAACTCCAAAGTAAATACATTATTAAAAAATAAACATCTCGCTACTAACGACGCTAATTAGATATTAAATAATTAAGTAAAATTTTAAAATCTTTTAAATATCGATTTACTCTTAGAAATAAATCCTAAAAATAGAATTTTAAAGTATAGAAAATTGGCTAGGACGGAGAAACTTCTATTTAAGAGATTAGAAGTTATAGAATATATAGGCGTAAGGGAATAGAAACGGATTAGAATAAATATTATAACGCTAATTCCTTCTAAAGGGTAGGGGTTAGACTAGATTAGTATTAGTAAAGTTAGTATTGTTATTAATAGTTACATTAACTAACAAAAAGGCTATCGTCGTCTAAATCAAACTCTAAATTAAATAGAAGGAGTTTCGAAGCGCGGGAAATTACCTAGGACGGAAACTTCTACTAAAAATATAAAACCTATTGGGGGGGGGGGGTACAAAAATAAAAGCGGGTTAGAATAAATATTATAACGCTAGGGCTTCCTTTTAAAGGGGGTTAAATTAGTAGAGGCTAATATTAATTATACTAATTAACGAAGAGAATAGAGGTGGGCTAGAACGGATATTATAATACTAGGGCTTCCTTTTAA